TTTTATTGATCTCAAATGAATATTGGTTACAAGAATGACTTAAATACTGTATTTTAGTATAGTATATGATTGATTGATTGAATGTACGTTATTCAATACAATCGACTAACATCACAAGTAAGTCGATGTGATAAAATACTTCATAGCTGGATGATCTCTTTTTTTCTGATATTTTCTGAGTGTTTTATTCTATCTGTATTTGTATAATCGACTATATCGCATTTTTCAGAAAAGCTTTGAGTTGACGACTAGGAGAGTTTAGTGAATCAAACAAGTAAAACAGCTAACAGGTAAAAAAAAAGAGATAACGTAGTCGTGAAGCATTGTGTCAACAGATTTATTTGTCGTGTTGCTCAATTCTATTGAAAGGCGTATATTCTTCATTGAAGCAAAATGTCATGAATCATACGTTACCCTGCACTTAAGTACTTAAGCCATCCTTGCAACCAACATTCATTTGAGACTAAAGGGATTCTATACGAAAAGAATGCGGAGAGAGAAAAGGAAGACTGTTGTCTAGGGATGTAATTCATCGAAATGTCTTCAAGATATATAACGAGCGAGCTGTATATAATGATCCTTTTTGTATTTTTACTATAATTTAAATTCTCATCGGATGTTGTTCTGTAGAAATTGAAGGAAAAAAACTAATCGAAGAATACCCAATGTGTGACAGTGATAAGAAAAAAACGAATAGAAGCGCTTCATAGCTATTAAAAAAATAGTATCAGTCAGTATGATGTAAATAAATGCTAGATCAGTCATTAAGACTTGTATCGATTTTCTCAATATTGTGCGTTTTTGAAAACTCAACTTTTTGAACCTTGAGTTTTCGAGCTTTTGGAAGAAAAACATAATGAAATGTGCGGATGTCGGCTCGAGCGAGGATCTTTTGTATACCTTCATCCATTTTCAATGTTCTTTCAGGAAACTTCAAGAGTAGTATGACCTACTACGAATTGTCCTAGCATATATCTTTTGAAGTCGGATTTTCTTTATTTTTATGAGAAATAATTAATTTAATAGCTAAATTTTATCCAAAGTCTTTTCTTGAATTCAGCTGATGCAAACTGGAAAAAAAATGATTATTTTGAAAAATAAGGTTTTCCGATACTCATTTTTATTCGAACGAACTTTGAACTGCATTACGAGAAAAAGTACGCTTTAGACTACTCAAAAACATCTTCAATTTTGTTCTATCATCTCTAGAAAATTTGGAAATAGTATCAAGTTAATAAAATAAAATAGCATAGAAAATCTGTCTGTTTAAACATGTTAAATTTTCTTCAGCTAAGTTTTTTTCCTTAATTTTCTACAGAAAAACGTTCGATACAGATTTTATAGAAAATGTAATGCTGCATCTTTTGGAAAAAGAATCAAATCTACATACGGAAAACAAAAAACAAAATTATAGTAAAAATATTCCGCCAAGCATTATTTTAATGGTCCACCTGTTACATGAATAAGGAGTTTCATAAGATAAGAAATTATATAAAAATTGTTGAGCAAATTAAAAGCTATCTACTAAACACAATTGTTAATAAGCATTGTAGTCAACAGTGACCTTCATCTGTCTCCTCAACATATTTTTTTTTTTGTTAGAGTCTATGACAAGTAAAAGATTCATTAGTATCATTAAGGCTGGAACATTTGTCTAAAGAATTTTTTTTCTTGATGAGATATCATGACAAATGTCAATCTACATCTTTTTTTTTCATTATAAAAAACCATTTTTGACAATGCATGAAACCTGATAAACGAGATTAGACATTTTTAATTAGTTTGATTTCACTTTCATCATATTTTTAATTCAAAAAAAAAATTTATTTATTTTTCGACTTACATTTTCTGCTTGATTTTCAGGTAATTTCATTGAATTTAAAAACCATCGAACAGTCCAACGCGCAAGTGGAGAACTTGTATTTGCAAATAAACGTTGTAGTAAAATAAATAACCATGTTAAAGATAATCCTACAAAAAACAAAAATAAAATAAAATTTAATTTGAATACATATACACACACACAACAAAAAGAATACCATGTTCAAGAGAAAAATTTAAAAATCGATCAAATTTTGTTAACAATGGTTTTATTAAATGAACAACACCATCTTCAAGTACTTCATAAACAACGATAAAATCAATCCAAAATTGTTTTGTTTTCTCATCAATTAAAATTAATAATCGATTAAATTTTTCTTCTTTGATTTCAATATGTTTATATTCATCATTAGTTAATATTTGTTGAAATAAATATAAAGCACATTTACGTATACGATCATTATTTGATGTAGAATCACCTAATGAACGTTGTATTAAATACCAAAATGATGACATTGAAACAAAGACTTTTGTTGATCGTAAATCAATTAATAATAAAAGAAATAATTCATCATTAGTTTTTATTATTGGTAATGTACGTACAAGAATCTGTTCTAGATTTGTTTGATGATTTTTAGAAAAAAAACGCCAAATATAAGTAAGAAATTTTGGATCATGTTGATCATTTATTGCTGATTCTAATTGTGTCCAATCAAAATTTAATGATAAAGAAGCAGAATGTTCAATAGTATTAAGTAATTTGCATAGAAGTTCACGTAATTGAACTGTTTGTTCATTATCAAGAATTAATAGAAGAATAGTTTTTATACGTTGAAGACGATCTTCTATTTTCATTAAATTCAAACATGAAGATAATAAACGATATTGATGAGTGGATGGTGAATTTTGTAATAAATAATCAAAAAGTTGACTGGCAATTGAAATTGAATCAAAATGTATATTAGTTGGTAGAGCATCTAAAAGTTGACTAAGTTCTTCAATTTCTTTTTCTTGTTTATTTGATTCATTTTGATAAGTAAGAATATTTGACATAGATGTTGTGATATAATGTGATAAATTATCACGATTAAGAAATGAGACTAAAAGTTCCATTTTATCTAAAGAAAATCAAATGTTTGTTTTTTTTTATTATTAAATTTTATTTAAAATTTCAAATAGAAATCTGAAGCAAAGAGCTAATTAATAGAAACAAAGATAAAATTATTACTATTCATATCTTGGGAAAATAGTATACAAATAATAAAAAAAAAAATGTAAACATATTCATCTGACAAAGTTTAAGAAATATTTCTTAATTTTTATTATTCTACGTAAGGTGGTGGAAAAAAAGTTTAACAACAACATATTTTTGATTTGTTTTCTATAATGTTAAATCATTAGTTCAAATCCAAATAGTGATTTTAATAGACCATGAAGTTTTCTTTTACTAAGACTTCATAGATGAACTATGATGGCAAAATTTCTAAAAAAATTGGACACGATATTTTCAGATTCCAGAACCTATTTTTTTTAACAATGCCATATTCAAGAGAACAAAATGAGGAATCAACGCATTTTCTATGATTTTCCTTTAAAACCTTAAATGTATCATAAAAAACAAAATTTATCAAAAAATTGACTAAAAAACGTTTTTTCTTTCTTCGATTTTTGTTATATTTTTAACTTTTTAAGAGAAGATCGTATTTGAGAACTACCATATCTAGTTTTTTAGAAACCTTGCCATCATAGTTCATCTATAAAGTCTCAATAAAAGGAAATTTCATTGGCTATTAAGATCACTATCTGGATTTGAGTTAATACATTTGTAGCAAAAGTATAAAGTTGATTGGATTGAAATTTTGTAATGTTAATACGTTCGAGATGAACCAATGAAGAAAGTATGTATAAGAAACAATATTTGGAAATCTAAAACAAGAAAAAAAGAATTTTCAATGATAAATTTCATTAGAACAGAAGAAAAAAATCTACTTTGTAGTTTCATCTAGTATTAGAATATATAAACAAGAGAAAAACGAGTAACTCTTCAAATAATGCCACAACAAATAAACGAAGTTTTTTTTTTTAATTTATAGAGTATCTTCAGAGTAGTTTGTTTTTTTCCAGTAAAATGCAAAACACAACATATTTTCAAATTCATAAATACTATTTTAGGTATTTTGCTTTTATTTGACGTACTTAATATTAGAAACACTGTGTATAATTAATCCATCTGATTTGTATTTGAAATGACTTTCTATCCAATCATTACCGGCAAAGACGTAGATGACGCCTGTTTCTTTGTACCACTATCGACATACTTTTGATGGATTTGTAATTTTAGAATATACACTGAAGTGACTATAGCAAATATTCTATTTTTTTTACATCCTTATAAAAGAAAATAATTGAAAATTACAATATAGAAATGAAATACGATATAGAAATGGACGATTAAACTGCCAATACAATGATTTTGTGAGTTGGAAAAACTCAAGTGTACCTTCATATTGCACCCATGTAAGTATTTATTATTTCTTTTCATAGTATAAATATCAGACACAGGTTGCTACTTTGTCATTTATTTGACGTAAAGAATTTCATGATTACCTTGTTATAAAATAAACTGATATTGATATGGTAACATTGTAAATTTCTAAGTTTTATCAAAAGTTCTGCTTAACACATCGTTACTCATCTTATTGATTTTATTCGTCATGTTAGTATAAATGAGATATATTATCGTCTTAGATTTTTTGTATTATTATATTTGGTAACTACATGATATTCTCAAAAATAAACAATAGCTTTTGAAGTTTCTTTTCTATAGGTTTCTTCGTAGGATGCTCACGAGCTGGTATTTTCTTTTTTCCTTTTCATGTGCATTTTTACTGTATGCAATTGTAACTTCAAAAAATCAAGCATGTGTATATCTTTCATTTCCGTAGGCATGAATAGTGCACGTTTGTTTTTATTATGCGAATATAATTGACAAATAGTATAACTTCAAAACAAAATGAGATAAATATTCGATGGACACGAATATATCAAGTGTCATTTTATTTTTTAACGTCATTCTTTGAAAAACAAAATACACCATCAATTTCAGATTTTTATTTTAAAAAATTATTCTAAGGTATAATATAATGGTAGATAGTAAATTAGATTCATTTAATCAGATAATGGATATTGATTGTCGGATCTCTGCACGTGCATTTTCGCAAAGTCATCGGTAAATATTATTAATTATGTTTTTCAAAAATACTAACTTGATTATTTTTTCCGATCTTTAGAACTATTTATCCCGATGCTTTTCCATGTAAAACTTTATCTGATGCAGTTAGATACATTCTTAGCAATAATTCATTTCAAGGAAGTAATGCAACCCTAACTGTACATCAAGAGGATGTCTTTGAAGTAATTGAACAATTAAAAGTATGCCCATCAAAGATGTTTGAATCCTTACGCACATACTTTGCAAAATTCTTTGATATTGATTTATATATTATTGGTTTTATTAATGAAAAATTTTCTATAATTCACGATGATAAACATGATAAAGCAAATACGGCTTATTTACAATTTAATAAAGATCATACAACTCATGGACCTTTATACATCACAAGTGTTAATGGTAATAATGAGACCGTCTTCTCCAAAGACGCTGGTATTCATGTAGATATATGCATATATGTGGTGCATCTCAATGATATCAGTAAATTTTTGTTCGAATATTTTAACTGAAAATTTCAGTTTTCGATTAGAACCATCAACTGACATCCTTCAAATACAAGAGCAACAAGCTGTTCATTGTATGGAAGAATCTATTGAAAGTAAGGACTCATCATAAAAATAAAACAGTAATCATTTGTGATTTATGTAGGTTTATCAATTGATAATACTTTAGATCCGACAAATCAAATAAATCTTTGTCTGTATTAAAATAATTCGAATAGCTTTTATTTTTTATTTTTTATTATTATTGCAGCTGATTCTGTTCAAATAGATGCTAAAATTCAATCTCGCATTTTACTTGATCGAATTTTATCTCAAATATTTAGATTAATTGATGGACTTCCAATAGATGCTCATATAATGAATGAAGTCTGGCAACAATTTGGTAAGATGTTGAACAAGAGAAGTCCTCCAACTCATTAATTGCTTTTGAGTTAAGACTATGTGCATTATGTAGATCCACATGAACTATGAATCCACTGAAAAGAGTTCGTGTCTGTAGCTAATTATTACAAAGATATCGCACCTTTACAAAATTTACTTTAAAGAAATGCCACGATATTCCTCAGGAACATCACAAAAACTGATTTTCGAATTTTGACTTGAAACTTTGCATAGAGACAGACCTTAAACAAGGGTAGTCTATTGAGAAAGTTTCAGTTTTTTTTATTTGCTTCTACTCTGAAATAAGAGGACCAAATCCGCTGCTTTATGAGAGTCATAGAGCTCGTCGGGTACTAAATCTACGAATCCGGATCCGGTTGATTGAACACTTTTAGAACCTGAACTGGGGAAGCCATACTTTGATACTATCAATGAAATTTTCCAATCGGAATCGGATAGACATTCCGAAGATAAAAGATACTTTTTTTCCGGTTTTTTTAATCGGTGACTAATACACTCTACATATTACTCAGACGACTAGAACTCATTGGACCTAGAATTTTCGGACTTGCATCCCGTTCACAGAAAAATTTCAGACCTGGATTTGGCCTAGTTCGAATCTGGGACTAATCTGACGAGCGCTAATGAACGATGTAAAAGACACGCTATTACCGAAGTTATATATTAGGATAAGAACAACGACAAGATCTGAAACATTCAAAATAAACTACTTCTATTAAGACTTATTTCTATACAAAGTTCCGAGGTGAAAGTCGAAAATGAATTTTTCTGGTGTTCTTGAGGAAGACGACGGCTTTTCTTTAAAAGAATACTGTAAGAGTATAGTCTATCCGCAGCAATTATCTAAGAACATGAACTCTTTTTAGGATATTCATAGTTCATTTGGGTCTACATAATGCATACAGTCTCGACCCAAAAGCGATTGATCAGTTGAAAGACTTCCATTAGAAGTTATAAGAGACAAATCTTTTTCATACATCATGTTCTTTTAGTTCCAAATATTACTCCATATAATCATTTGTTTGACGAAGAAGCGATTACTATTTTAAAACAATATGTGATGTCCTGTTCAAATCTTATTCAAATAGAGGAACAATCTATGAATACTTATCGTAATGACATTCTTTACTATATTATTTGCAATTATTAATTTGTGTGTTTTTTTCATAGAAAGTATTCAAGTTGATACTCTTCAATCTACACTTCCTAGTCATCTAAGCAATCAAACTATCGAAATTAATTCTATTCATTCCAATAATATTCCAATTAACTTACAATATCAAATGAATCAAATTCCATTTGATATTAAAATTCTGTTAAATACTTCTGTATCAAAAACCTACGATCAACCAACATTAATTAAACAATTAAAAAGTTCATTTCATCCTCGAAACTTAAAAGAATTTGCAAAGACTAAAAGTTCTCCTATACAGTGTATTAATTCCAAACAACGTGATCCATTTCAAATACGAGTATGACATTAGTCAAATAAATTGAAAAATAAATATTTCAATTCTATTTAGGTTCCTCCTGACGATGGTAATTTATTATGTCTTGCTATAGAACTACATAATCCCGATGGACAAATTCATCCTTCGAAAGTTATTGTTCCGATAAGACAAAGGCAAAGGATGAATCATTAATAAACAATAATGATTTGAGATGTTTGAAATTTGATGAGTGCCAGTCAGATGATCAAGTCGATCTTGATAACAAGCGAATCTATTTAAAAATCACTAAGACAGAACGTCAAGCTTTAGTGAAAGAGTAAGGTTTTAGTTTAGTTCTTATTTTTATTATTCGTGCGATCAATATGTTTTTCATAGTATTCGAATTCACATAATCAATTTATACCAAAGATGTGGAATAGATAGAAAAATGGTGCAAAATCAAGATCTTAAAAAATGTAAACTCGCTTTTTGTTTTTGCACACTTGAAAATACAAAGTATAAACATGTTTCTCCAGTGAATTATTCTAATATAATGGAAGAGTGTAAGATTTTAGACTTATTAATTATTAATTTCCTAATTTTCTTTTTCATTATAGGCAATCCACATACCAATAAACAGAAGAATATTACTAATAAACAATCAAAAAGGTTATTCAAAAAATCTATCGATGTACATTAAATATGTTACAAATGGATCCTGACAGTATACATTTTGCCTTTCATAATCGTATTAATAATGCTTTAAGAACAAGTTTATATTGACTTTCTTACTTTTTTTCTTCTTTCTCGTACCTCTTTATTGAATCTTTAAAAAATTTTTTTATTTGTTTTTACGAAATAATGTACATTTAAATATATATTTCCTAATAGACTTAATCTGATAATTGACAAGTTACTGTTATGAATAATAATATAAAAAGGTTTTTATTATTAATCTTGTACTTACATTATGAACAACAGCTATATGTTGTAATGAATTATTTCAATACAGAAAAGAAAAATGAATGCTGGTTAATTCATCGGTACATGTTTTAGGTTAATGACACGCTTGGCACTGATTGGTGGAATTTACACAGACAGCACTGCGTCAATATGAGGGCGCTGTAATAAATGTGTTTCAAGTCAACTTGTACCTAAATTTCTACGTAAGACTTTTTTCTTAGAGTAGAACATTAAATTTCGCAACTGATTGAAATTTATACTATGTTGCAAAATAAAAATTTCGAAACAAAAACTTCTCGATTGTACCACAACAAGAGAGAATGACATTCATCATGAATCATTTGACATACAAATATAAATACTTTCTGGTGTACCAAAGATCTTCATCAACTCAAATAATAACGTCATTTTTATATAGTGAAGAGCTTGGTAAAAAACATTGCTCTTCTACTGAAAACTATCGGTATTAAATGTACATTTTTCAAGTAAGTGTAAGTATTTATTATTAAACGAGAAAAGAATAAAAGAATTTAACAATAAATTCTTCCATAACGTGAGATATATCTAGGAATTGACGTATATATCACAGCAGTGAAAATCATGTTTCAAAATCAAGATGTTGATATAGCTTTTGGTTTTTTCTTTCAATAATGATCTTGAATTTTTTCAATTTGATTAATGGCATCCTATAAATCACTTGCATCGGATAATCGGAAGAGTCTATTTGAAATTTAGTTAGGAAGTAACCATGTAAAAAGTAAATATTTGATTTAGTAATATATCCGTATTTTTATACATGTATTATGTGTTAATGTTTGAATTGATAAGATCAAATCATATTATAATGCTGACATGACTAACGAGGAAAATATCCCAACTGATTAATTACTTTTGAGTCCGAACTATGTGCATCATGTAGATCATAATGAGCTATGAATAGTCTGAAAATAGTTCAGATCCTTAACTTATTCCTCTAGAGATAATGTATTTTTACGGTTTTTTTTAAAGTAATATCTCGTGCCTCACCTCAGCAATAGAAGAAAAATTCGTTTTCGAATTTCGACTTGAACCTTTGCATAGAGACAGATCTTAATAAGAACCGTTTCTTTTGATAATTTCAAGACTTGTGATTTGTTCCTTTCCTAATATAAGAATAAAATTTGCTGATGTGTATCATAGCTGTATGTTAGGATAAGAGCAAAGAATATATCTGAAAATTTCACAATAAACTATTCTTTATGATTCGAATCTCTATGGAAAGTTTCAAGTCGAAATTCGAAAATGAGTTTTCTTTATGTTTCTGAAGAAGAACTATGATATTAACTAAAAATACATCGTAAAAGTGAACTATCTTGGTAGCAATAAGCTAAGAGGGCGAACTCTTTTCAGGATATTCATAGCTCAGTAGGCTCTGTATGAAGTACATAATCTCGAATCAAAAGTGAACAATCAATTGGAGTACTTTCGTCGTTAAACTTTGATTTGAGATTGATAAGTTTATCTTTGTAATCTAAATTTTTGACTAAATCTCTTCGATAACAGTACCTTTATAACGATCTTTGTCGTTGGATCATTTTTTTTATTCAAATCAAACTGATCTGTAAAAATTTTCAATTTTCTATAAATAATGACGTACACAAAAATAAATTAAACACTAACCTATTGCGTTAATCGATTGTGTCTATGGAAGAACGAAAAATACTTTTGTTTGATAATTATGGCCGGGGAAGTCACCATATTAGTCAGAATATTTCAACTGATTGGTTCATTAGTCATTTGTTTTTTCCCTCATTGTTAATATCTTCGACGTCATACACACCTGTTCCAATACTTATTCCGTCATCTACAAATACATGACTCATAATGATTATTATGTCTTATATAATTTCCATGCATTGTCTGCATGTTATCGATATCTACTACTTAACCTCTTGTAGTCATTGTCCATGTCAAAATAATTGATATTATTCGGAGAATTCTTTATCACAACTACTTGAGACATGAAATATGATTCAGATGTTTTTAAAGAAATTTCCAAGATTTCAACTTATGATGGTTAAATAAAATACCCTTTACTTCTCATGCGCGTATGGCCAATGTTGTAATTTATTTATTTCATTTCATTTTTTTAAAGATTTGTTTGTCCAACTTATACTACTGATGTAAGTTTATAATTCCCACATTTTTTTCATATTAAGATGTGTTTGCTTTTGCAATTTCTCTTCCGTGCAAACATTAGGTTGGAGATTTCTTCTCTATGTCATATATTCTTTCAGTTATATATGCTTTTAAAAGTGTTTCGTCTCAGAATAGAATAATGTAAGTAGAATGATTAACAAGTACACCATACTGTTTTTTCATTGATCTTTCTTTCGTCTATTTTAGCATCATGTTACCATATTATTTAACAAGTTTTTTACTAAGATATATCAAATCCATTTGAAGATATTGAAACGAATAAGAGTGAAAATAAAATTATTGTTCATCTTCTAATAGGCTTTGGAAAATCTAAAGTGAGATCAAATTATAAACTAAATTTCTTCACGCAATAGAACATCTCTTTGGAGAAACGATGCATAGAACGTAAGAGAAGACTTGCTTTCATTAATTATTTTCTGACAAAATTGAAACTTTACTTAGTATATTTACATCGAAATATGTCTAATTTCTAGAATGTTGAACTGAAAATCTTTAAAGTCTGAGGTTAGCATTATTTCTAAAGTTTTAAAGTCCTCTGAAAATATCTTTTCAAATCCTCAAAATCATTTTTGTTTTCTGAAAAATCTTCTTAATTAAAAATTATGGAAATAAATTAGACACAATAAAAGACCTCCATGAAACCTTTGTACATTTGAACATAATAGAACACCCGACGTCTTGTATTGCGGGAAGGAGCTTAGACAACTTACATATAGATTATGCAACAATTTCAGAGAAAAAGTACAATGTCTTTTCAATGAAAGTATAATTCGACAGTTCTTATCATTAATGTTTTTTGTTTGTGTAATTCTACCTGAAAAATATTATATTCGTTTTTTCAAAGTTACATCAAAAACTAAATAAGATGTTTTAATTGAGAATTGTATGCCAATCTAAATTGTATACATTTATTTGTTTTTTGAGAATATTTCAAGATGAACAATAAATTTTATTTAATATTACTTTTATAAATCACTTTCAAGTGACATAGTCTTACTTTGATGATTTTATATATATATATATATAACTATAATGCATTTATCCACGACTCTATTTTCTATTAGTTACTATTTTTATAATATATTCATAATCCTTATCAATGGGGATTTTTTTCAAAAAATTTCCTTGCCTAATATTTGTCATCCTTGATTCAAAACATGATATTTGTTGTTTTTACTGACGAATGATTAAATATGATGTCAAGGTTTTTTTTTTGATGACGTACAAAAGAAAAAAAAAATGTTTATACGTGAATAGTGACTCATGGCTTTCCAAGTCGTCACGATTATTCGTTCGTTAACCGCCCTCGCCGTTCTGTTCTTTTTTTTTTCGTTATGCTATTAAAAACAAGTGTAAAGTCCACAGTTTGCGTTAAAAAAAAAACAGTTAAGAAAATGCATTTGAACAATCATTAAAAAAATGTTTCCAATGATTATATATTACGTTTCGAATCATACCAATTTTAATTAATGAGACAAAATTCTGTTAATTACAATTCGACTTATGTGAACAATCAATTGCGACGATGTAATATTTAACTGATTATTCATAAAATTTACATATCAGATTTATTTCATGGAGTTTGAGTAAAATTTATATGTGAAAATTCAATAGAATTGGTTAAAATACAAAAAGAATACAAAATTAAACATTTTTCAAGCGTGAATAATAATTGTGGCTAGTGAGAGAATCTTTCGAAATATTGAATCACGTGTCGATCGAGACAATATTTATTTAATGACAACTAGTAAGTAATAGAAAAATCTAGAATGATTTCATTTTTCCATCTTTCATTCTTGATATATCGAAATTTTACTGAATTTTTCAACAAAAATAGTTATGATCCGCCTCAAGTCACATGGCAAAATCGACTTTTGAATATCAATTTCAAACTTTGTACAAACAAAATTCTCAACAAAATTAATTGATTGTGCAAATTTTACCTTCTCTAACTATATGAAAAATATTTACTTTTACATATGAGAGAATTTCGAATATTCAATATCTCAGAATAGGAGATACTTGAAAAGTAACAATTTATTCAATGATCT